ATCCTAAAAGGCTAGAATGAAGTTTAGAATGGTTCAGATTGTGCTACATTCCGCTTATACAACAGATGAGAAAATCAAGGTCCAGAGAGTTTAAAGGGAGGTAATATGTGTTAAGAACATGAACTGAGGTCAGAAAAACCTTTGTTTAAGGGTTGTGATCTTAAGTCCATTACATAGTCTAAGATCCATTTTTTCCTCTCTAAAGCAAAGATAATATTTATGTCTCTAGGAGTGCTGTGAAAGTTAAATGACATCATGCTTATAAAGCATAACACAGAGGCTGATACGTACTAAATTCTCTTGACCACTCATTGTAGTCATATCATCACTTGTAAAGTTACTTTTCTCAAGTTACATAGGGTGAGATCTTAGCCTAACCTGGTTTTGCTTTATTCCACCATAATTTTTAGTATGGTTTTGTGATCGCATCTACTTGATGAAAAATCTCTAAACAGCGTCGAGGTGTCTAGGTGGCTCAGTCAAATTATCTGCCTTTGGCTTAGGTCATGGTCCCTGGGTCCTGGGATTGGGTCCTGGGGTCAAGTCCCATGTCAGGCTCCCTGCTTAGTGGGTTGCTTGGTTCTCCCTCTCTATCTTCCTCTCCCGCTGCTTGTGCTTTCTTGCTTGTTCTCTCTCTCAAATAAATAAAACCTTTAGGAAATTAAATAAATTAATTAAGTAAATAAAAATCTCTAAATAGCATTTATAAGAAGTATTATAAAATAACTCATAGATTTTTTTTTTCTTCTCAAATCTTTCCAGATTCTTTGTCTTCTTTGAGAATATTTAAGCAATTTCACTTACACGCAGTTTATTAGTGTGTAATTTCATTACTATATTAGCTATACTTTTAATTTATGATTTAACTTTTTACTATATATTTTATTTTTTTATTATTTTTATTTTTTTAATATTTTATTTATTTATTTGACAGAGATCACAAGTAGGCAGAGAGGCAGGCAGAGAGAGAGAGGGAGAAGCAGGCTCCCTGCTGAGCAGAGAGCCTGATGCGGGGCTCGATCCCAGGACCCTGAGATCATGACCCGAGCCGAAGGCAGAGGCTTAACCCTCTGAGCCACCCAGGTGCCCCTTTACTATATATTTTAATAACGTTACAGAGCAAGTTTGAAAATAAAATTGCCTTTTCTCATTTTGTTTTGCTTTGTTCTGTTTTTGTTTTTAAAGAGAGAGAGAGAGAGTACTTACATATGTGCACAAGCAGGGGTATGGGCAGAGGGACAGGGAGAGAGAATCTTAAGCAGGCTCCATGCCCAGTGTGGAGCCTGATGGGGGCCAATCTTACAACCCTGAGATCATGACCTGAGCTGAAATCAAGAATTGGATGCTTAATAACTGAACCACCCAGGTGCCCCAAGCCTTTTCTGGTTTTATTAATATTCCTTTTACCCTTTGTAATTTTAGTGTAAATATTACTTCTATTTTATAGAGACTCATCTCTACCAACAGAAATATTTCACTTAAAAATTGAAATTTAGGGTCCCCTGAGTGGCTCAGTCAGTGGAGTGTGCAACTTTTGATCTTGGGGTCTTGAGTTCAACCACCACGTTGGACACAGAGATCACTTAAAAGCAAATAAATAAAGTTTTGTTTGTTAGTTTGTTTGTTTTAAAGGCAGAAAAGGGGCGCCTTTTCTGTGGTAAATGTGTGTGTGTGTCTGTGTGTGTGTGTATACACAAAGTAGAGAAATCAGCCATTTCCAAAAGGAGTACACACACACACACACACACACACACACCCAGGAATATTATGCCGCCATAAAAAGGATGTAATCATGCCATTTGTGACAACATAGATAGACCTAGAGGGTATTATTCTAAATGAAGTAAGTCAGATTGAGAAAGACAAATACCATATGATTTCACTCATGTTTAAAACACTCATGTGAAAAAACAAAACAAATGAATAAACAAAGAAAAAGCTATATCAGGCCTATAAATACAGAGAACAAACTGATGGTTGCCAGAGGGGAGAGTGGTGGGGGGATGGGAAAAATGTGTGAAGTGGAGTGGGAGACATAGGCTTCCAGTTATGGAATGAATAAGTCACAGGAATGAAAGGCACAGCATAAGAAATATAGACAGTGATGTTATAATAGTGTTGATGGTGACAGATGGTAGCTATACTTGTGGTGAGCGTCGCATAATGTATAAACTTGTTGAATCACTATGTTGTACACCTGAAACTAATGTAATATTTTGTGTCAACTATGCTCAAATAAAAATATTTGTTTTGTTTATTTTTTAAAGGAAGAGAATCCAGAAAGAGGAAATAGGTATATAGATTTGGAAAGAACGTATGTTCCAGGACATGAAAATATTTTGGTCCGGTGCTGTTGAAATATAAAATTTGAGGAAATAAATGAGCCTAAGGTTTAGATCTTGTAGGAGTTTACTTACCAAGAAGTTTGGTAAGTACCCTAGCAAAGGTACCTAGCAGAGAGTTCTTTAATATTATACATAAATTTAATTTAATAATGTATATATTTTTTTCTTTATTTTCTTATTTTTCATGGTTTTTCCATTAAATTATTTATAAATAAATATATTTTCTATAAGTGTTGAGAAAGGAAGTATAAAACTAATATTTCTTTATTCATTTTTTAAAAAATGGTAGGTGCTTTCTAGTTGAGCCTTTATTATTACAGTTTACAGATGACTAAACTGAGACTCAAAAAAGTTAAAGTATCTTTCCCAGTGTATTCTACTGATAGATAAGTCATTATTTGCAAAGTAGAGAAATCAGCCATTTCCAGAAGAAGTCTGCCATGTATTCACTGACTTTTTTTTTCTACTTTTTTTAAATACCAAAAGCAGATGTATATATTTGGATAAAAGACACCCCCCCCCCCAACCCCAGAGGCACCTGGGTGGCTCAGTGGGTTAAGCCTCTGCCTTCAGCTCAGGTCATGGTCTCAAGGTCCTGGGATCGAGCCCCACATCGGGCTCTCTGCTCAGCAGGGAGCCTGCTTCCCCCTCTCTCTCTGCTTCCCTCTCTGCCTACTTGTGATCTCTCTCTCTCTGTGTGTCGAATAAATAAATAAAATCTTTAAAAAAAGACACCCCCACCCCCTCACTGCCAAAGCTTCTCCAGCAAAAGTTGCACCATTATACCATTAATGGAGCTAAAAGCATGCATGGTGTTCTCAGTGAGAGACTGCAGATATAAATGATACTATGCTGCAGAGACCCAACTAAACTTCTTTGAATAATTGGAAGTATACAATGTTACAGGCTCATTTGGTTTCAAAATCAGTTCTTACTTAAAAATTCTAAATGAGCGACTGTTTAATAAATATGCTTAAGAAAAGAAAAAGGCAGTAATCTTAACATAGTCTAGGAATAATTATATAAGCATGAGAGAATAGAAAACAAAGTTTTCTACTTTGGTTTGGTGGTTTTTGGTTTTGTTTCGTTTTTTTGTTTTGTTTTGTTTTGTTTTCTGTAATTAGTAGAGAGTCTAGTACAGCACAGAATCTGCTGGGGAGTCTCTCCATTTGTTTCCCTCTCCTCACGTGCTCTCACTCTCAAATAAATAAAAATGTTTTTTAAGTTTAATACAAATATTCCTGATGCTGTCCTTATGTGAATGCATTTTTTTCGAGTGCATTTTAAAAACATTACATCAGTAGCTATATTTCCATCATAATATAAGATAGTGCAGGTAAACTTTTCCGTATGCAAATTGTACCATCTATTTATTTATAATTTTATTCTCCAATTTGCTTTCATCTCAGGAAAAACTACTTAACTTTTATTCACAAAATTTGTGGTTTTTGTCTCTTTATTGCCCCATTACTGAATACTTCAGGGTTTGTTTTTTTTTTTTAATTCTAGTCCTTTCATCAAAGTTCATGATTCCATAGCTCAGTCTATATCAAACTTCCTCTCATCTATGAAACAGTTTTTGCTGATTATAGTTGTATTTTATTTGCTCCTTGACTAACATTTGGAAGTCTACATTGGTGTTCTAGAAACTGTGAGAGAAGAGAATGATGTACAACAAAATTAAATTTCAAGTCACAAAAATATTTCATATTTTTAGTGTCGAACTTATGGAAAGGAAACTTCAGAAAAACTTTCACACTTGACAGTAAACTCAAATGTCACAGTTCCCCTCAAATGTTACCTCTTCCGTAAAACTTCCCGATCCCCCTTACAGCTGGAATTAATATCCCCATCATTTCTACCTTTCAAGTATTTGTTATTTCTGTCATAGCAGTGTTCTCCAACACTACCTTGGACCTGAGTACATTCTCTGTTGAAAGAGGGTTTGCTACAATGATTTACAAGGATATTCTTTTATCACCTGGGATGCTTACCTTATAACCAATTACTACCATGAACTTTCAGGTCTATGATTGTATTTAATTATGTCAGTCTAATAAGAAAAGAACAAAAATAGATTTGACATGTAGGAGTAGTTCATTTGTACCAAGTGAAGGCCAGATGACATCAGAGTGAACTAAATTAAAGCTGTGTAGTAGTTTGAGTAGAAAGAAATGGTGGCAATATTAAATTGTCCAGGGAACACTAGATTATAAGATAGGCTTTCCAAACTCAAATGTAACTGGAAAATAATGGGGAAGTAGCAATCTTTCATTTTAGCAAAAACATTGTATGGTAGCAGTTTGAAATATGTTAGTTTTGTGGCTTTTTGGTGGGGTGGGGAGAGATGGGGACAGCATGTGCAGGTGGGATGGGCAGAGGGAAAGAGAGAGAGAATCTTAAGTAGGCTCCATGCCCGGTGTGGAGCCTGACTGGGCGCTCAGTCTCACAACCCTAAGATCATGATATGAGCCAAAATCAAGAGTTGAATGCTTAACCAACTGGGCCACCCAGGCACTCCTGGTTTTGTAGCTTTTATGTGCAAACTTTGTAAATATGTTTTGGTAGTATGTTGAATTAGATCTAATAGCAGAAAGAGTTTCTCCTTATCCTTAGTTTTACCTTTTCTATGTATTTCAGTAATATAATAATTAATTTCAGTCTACCCATGTGTTCACAAGACATTTTTTCTCCATTTGTAAGGGTCTATACATAAGTTTCAGAAACATTCTTATAAAGCTCTTATCTGCCTTATGAGATGAGTTGTGTGTTTGGCTACTTCACCTGTTAGACTGTAAAGTCTTTACCATCTAGTAACGGCATAGATTATATTTTATTCATTTTTACAGTTCTCTTAGAGTCTGTTTGAATGCTTTGTATCCAATAGTGGCACAGCAGAAATTTATTCAATAAACCGTCATGTGCTGGTGTGTCTTAGTGTGATAATGACCAGAATGGACAAATACATAGAAAACATAAAGAGAATATACACTTCAACAATTTGAAATTCATACAGGTTAGGAAATTCTTTTTAAATTAAATATCCCCTAGGATTTTGACCACTTACCATATTGTATGAATTACTTGAAATTGGTAAAGGATCTTTAGGTTAGTGGGGGGAGAATGAAAGATTACATGGCAGGCTAGATTAAATTAAATTAAAAAAAAGAATTGAATGGAAAGGAATATGGGAATTCACTAAAGACACCATCTTCCACTTTTGGGGTACTGCCTGGAGCCACAGGGCCTAGAGAGGGTTCTCTTTAGCTTAGGTGGAATTAAAACTGGCATAATTTTAAATCCTCTAGAGTAATATTGTAAGTCCATGTCTTCTACTTTCTAATTCTATTATAACAGATTTTTGCATGATGTTGCCACACCATGGAGTTTAGTTATCTTACTAAATATCTTAAGAAGTTTCCTACTCAGATTGAATTACCTATTCCTAAATTTCAAAACCATTCAAAGTTAGCTTTGTCCTATATATGTAACTTTCCAACACACAGACTTTTTTCTGGTCAGACCATTTATTTTTTTCCCTAGAACATTCTTTTTTTAAAGGAGAGATGTATTTATTTATTTTAGGGAGAGAGAGAGAGACAGAGAGAGAGGAAAGAGAGTTCAGGGAAGGAGGGGCAGAGGGAGATGGATAGAGAATCTCAAGCAGGCTTCCCGCTCAGCAGAGCCGGACACATGACCTGAGCAGAGTCAGATGCTCAACCTACTAAGCCACCCAAGGGGCCCTAGTTAGAACATTCTTACAACCAGAACATAGAGTGATGATTCTGTGTCTTTTTCCATGCATCATTTCTTTTGCTTGAAATGTTGTTACCTCTTTATCCAGTGCCAATTCATCTAAGAGTAGTCTTGTAGTCTTCTGTGACAACTCTGACCTTCACTGAGCTCCCTTTCCTCTCAACATTTTATCTTTTTTCCTGTCCACAGTCTTTTAAATTTTAGAATCCTTGTTTGCAGTTCTAGGTGTGACATTGGTACATTGCTATCCCATAGCACTATACTCAGCATATCTAAACTTGAACACATTCTCTTCCCATTTCCCAGAAACCTTTTCCTCTTTCTGTATTTCCTGTATTGGTCAATGTTATCAATATCCACTCCCTCGCCACCGAAGCCAGAAATATTGGTTATCTTTAACTACTTCTTCAAAAGTTCTCATCTGGTCTGATATCAAATCACTGCATGCTGTGTAATAAAAGAGCCAGTGTTTATGGGGTGCTTGCTGTGTGCCAGGTACTAATCTAAGGATTTGATTTGTAAATTCATTCACTCTTCCTAACAACTTTACTTATCACTCCTGTTTTATGTAAGAAAGACATGTATTTGCTAACACACCACTATTATGAAGCTGTCCATCCAAATGAAAACAAAATAAAAATTATTAAACATGGTCAAGACTAATTTAGAAGAAATAATAAGGATAGAGGTACATATTAAATGATACCAGGGGATAAAATTAGGAAGGTCCATCCTGGGAAATTCTAAAAGACAGAAGACCTATTTTCTTCAACTAAAAATGTTAATGGCATGGGCATGTGGTCAGAACAGTTACAGATTAAAAGAGACTTAAGGGACATATCAGACTATTCTAATGTCTATGTCATATTTGAGTCTAAACTCAAATAGTTTAAAAATATTACAAGACAAAGAAATGTGTATACTGATTCAATATTTAATATTAAGGAATTATGTTAGAAAGCATTGTAGCTATGATAGAAGTGTTGAGCTGTTTAAGGTTAAAAGCACCAGTCTATACCTAAAGGCATAAGCATCTATGGCAGAGGCTTGAGAAAAAAAAACTGCTTTCACCAATCATTTTTTTAAAACTTGGTCTCTGCTTAAAGGGGTGACAAAACTTTTAGTTCAATACCATTTATTAGACATAAAATATAACCTGTGATTTTATGAATACACAATTCTATAAAAAATTCACTATTTTGTCATATTTTCTCTATATTCAGTGTTTCTTTTACAGAAATATGGATAGTTGAAGGGAATAAAAACTAATATTTCTAGAACTTCTATAAAAATGATGATGATGATGATGATAGCAGTTGAGTGCTTAATTATGTGGCAGGCACCCTTTTATGAGTTTATTATTGTAACTTCTTTCATTCTTCTAACTTCAGGGCAGTATTGTTATTATCCTCATTTTATAGAGAGGAAACAAGCTATAGAGAGGTTAAAAGATTTACTCAGAGTTACATTGTTATTAATAAATGAAGTTCAGAGTTAAAGCCCATTCAGTTTGACTTGTGTCTTTACTATACTACTTTTTTGCTATGGTGCTATTAATATTTATCTCATTGACTTCATTTATTTGGGAATGTTTTAATTTCTCCCTCATTTTCAACATAGAGTTTTGCCAGATATAGAATCCTTGGTTGATAATTGTTTTTCTTTTAGCACTTTAAATACATCACCTCACTGCCTCTGACTTCCATGCTTTCTGATGAGAAATTGGCTATTAATTTTATTGAGGAGTCCTTGTAAATGATGAGTTGCTTCTCTCTTGGTGCTTTCAAGGTTCTATTTTTGTCTTTGTCTTTCAACTGCTTGACTGTGTCTCAGTGTGATACTCTCTGTGCTTATCCTTTTGGAATGCATTGATTTCTTTGGATGTGTAGATTCATGTTATTTCCCAAATTTGGGAGGTTTTCAGCCATTATTTCTTCGAATATTTTTTCTGCCCCTTTTTCTCTTCTCCTTTTGAGACACCCCAATATATCTGTTCACTTCTCCATACTTTTTTCTTTCTGTTCCTTAGCCTAGATAACGGGGATTGACCCATCTTCAAGTCTGTTGGTTCTTTCTGCTGTATTTAATCCGCTTTGAACCCATCTAGTGACTTTTTCATTTCACTTATTGCACCTTTTAACTCCAGCATTTTTGTTTGGTTCCTCTTTATAATTTCTTTGTCTTTATTGACATTCTCATTTTTTTCATACATTATTTTCCTGGTTTCCTTTTCTTATTTGTCCATGGTCTTTGTTAGCTCTTTGAGCATATTTAAGACTGGGAATTTGTTGCTAGTAGACCTGCCTTACAAGAAATGATTAAAGGAGTTCTTAAGGCTGAAATGAAAAGACATAGACAGTAATGAAGAGCCATATGAAGAACTAGAAAAACTCGGATAAAGATAACTACATAGGTAAATAGATAGGGAACATAGTGCTTTGAAGGAAAAAAAATAAAAGGTCAATGTAGCTAGAGAGTGCTGAAAACAAGGATTTTGATTTGAGATTAACAACCAATAGATAAAGGGCATTGTAGAAAAAGATAAGGTGTCCCCCCCCCCTTTATCTTAAGAGCAATGAGAATTGTTTGAAGTATAAATTAAAGTTTGAATTGTCAACAACTCAATTTCAATTGAGGCTTACCGAGGTTGAGCAACTCACCCTGAGGTCATACAGTGATCAAGAGGCTTACCGAGGTTGAGCAACTCACCTAAGTTCATACAGTGATGAGGAGGTAGAACTAGGATCATAATTCAGGAATGTCTTGATCTAATATCCTGACTACTACATTTCTTATAAATACAAGTTTAAAAAATAGTCAAGAAATTATAAGCTTGAAATTTCTGTGACCTAAAATTTATTATTATTTCAGCTGATGATAACAAAATGCCAACTATGTTTGAGGGATGTGATTTTACTTATTCCGAGTGCAGTCATGGTCAAATTAAAATTTTTTAGCTCTGCTTGTGACTTACTGCTCCTCAGTAAACAGGCAAACCCATGATGCTCAATAGTGACCATTAGAACAAAAATATATTTGATCTCTTCCTATGATTTCTTCCACTTTCAACTCCTGTCCTCTAAGGAAAAATTAACAATGAAAGCTAATTGTGTGCCAGACAGTTTCCAAGTATAATTTCATCTTAAACTTACTGATACTAAGTAACTGTTCCAAGCTGACATAATTAGTAATTTGTGTAACTGCGATTCAAATTCATACTTCTCTAAAGTCAATGATGTACTCAAGATTCTCCCTGAGAAACTATTCCTTAGAAGGGAATTGTGAGCCATTCATTCATTCAATCAGTATATTATATGCTTCGCATTCATTCATTTATTCATCTATTTAACAAATATTTATGAAACACTGACTTATATGCTTCTACTGTCTAGCTATTGTAGATATTGTAGTCAGTATGACAAATTTCCTTCTGTTTACTTTGATCAAGTTTACTTTCTAGTAAGAGAGCAGAAGTAAATAAATATATAAAATATTTTTTAGTAGTTGATAAATCACCTAAGGAGGGGGAAAACTAAGGAAAATACGATAGCACATATGAGGCAGGGTAGAATTGAGGGCAGTATACATATAAAACTTGGGGAAGACCTCTGTGAGGGGCGACACTCATATTGAGAAACCATCACCAGAAGGAGCCAGCCATGTAAGGATCTGAGGAAATAGGAATCACAGTGCTGAGGCTAGGATATTGTAAACTGGGGAGTAGAGGTAGGCAGATGTCATTAAATCTGGTTAGAAATTTTTTCTAATGTGAAAAGAAGTCCCTGGAAGTTTTTATGGTTGTTAGTTAATTTTATTTTCCTTCATCTCATGTTTAATTTGAAAATGTTCCATATTCAATTTTTCTCTTGTTGGAGGCTTTTAAGGAGGAAGCCATGTCTAGTACATTGATGGCTTTAAAACAATATTATAAATTCTTTGTGATTTATATCTTTGGAGGTATTCTGTTTTCTTATTCTTAAATTATACATACCATTGCTATCAGAATTAAGAAGTTTCCATCATCTTAAAGAGAAATTCATGGATATACATTATTCCTTGACTCTAAATATTACATTGTGCCTTTTGAATTACTTAGTAAATTTCCAGAGATGGAAAATATACTGTTTCTAGTTTTTTCTTTAGGATTTTAAGGTCTAGTGAAAAAACAGACATGCAAACCCATCATTATAGATGTGGTTGGTCCCATCATAGCTATATATATATCATGTTTTTGGAATATAGAAAGAATGGTGTGATCGCTGAGGGATGGAAGGGCCTCATGAAAAATTTTCATTCTACAGAGATTTCCCATTATGCTTTTTGAAGCATAGTAGGGACTAGGTATCCCTATCTGAACAGTGATGCTTAATGCTACAAAAAAATCTTTAGAAAGAGTTTATGACTTCCAGCCATATAGCAATATAAATAAGTGGTACCTGATTTGGTATATATGAGAAAGTCAAATTTCTTTTCTCAGTGGAGGGTGAAAAAGCATTAAGGGTGCTCTTTCTTACTGCTGCCCTTTCCGTCTCCTGTTTTCTCTCACCCTTTATCCTCCATTTTTGTAACTGTACATGAGGTGGGAAGAAGATGAAATTTTCTAAGTTTTGAAGGAAGGTGTCTTAGCAAATTTGAGGGGGGTATTTGAGAGAGGAGGTATGATTATAAAAAGGGAATTTATTTTTGAGCTGGTGATAGTCTCTTCTGATGATCTTCAACTGGGACCTTAGATCTTTCCCCCCCACTCAAAATCCCAGCTAAATATGTAATGTTTCCTATCATAATATTAAGTGGGCACTCTCAGAAATAAATATGTGAGAGTGATATGCGATTAATGACAGTATAACTGGAATGAGCAACATGACGCTAGTGAAGAAAACTATGTGCTTTGTAAGTTTGTTGGTGAAGAATCAGAGGAAGGAATCTTAGAAAATAAAATTGTGTGAAACCTAGGCAGATGCCCAAAGAGAAAGTACCAACTTACAAGCAAATGTAGAGTACCCTTATGTCGGGATATGAAGAGAAATGAAAGCAGCACAGTATAATTTAGAACATAAGTATGCTGAGAGAATTGAAGGAACTGAAGGAGGGGGTGTTATTTCCTCCTTAGCAGTTAAGTATTCAGCCAAAAAAGAGTGTGGTGTTGTACAGAGTGAATATAAAAAGAGAAGGTAAAAGAAAAATACAGCAGAATTTCAAGAAAGGGTAGCCAGCCTTTATATAATAAAAAATGACCTTTAAAGTTAATTGCACCAGAGTAATTATCCCTGAAACTAGCGTCTTCCAATAAAAGATGATTTTTTTTTAAGATTTTATTTATTTATTTGACAGACAGAGATCAAAAGTAGGCAGAGAGGCAGGCAGCGGTGGGGGGGTGAGTGGGCAGGCTCCCCGCTGAGCAGAGAGCCTGATGTGGGGCTCAATCCCAGGACCCTGGGATCATGACCTGAGCCAAAGGCAGAGGCTTTAACCCACTGAGCCACCCAGGTGCCCCAAAGATGATTTTTAATGTAGAAAAAAATTCCTGAGACTGAGGGAAGAAAACAGTAGGTAGCTTGAACATATATATTTAGTTTTGGCTATTTGCTGAAGGCCCACTCATTTGATAGAAAAATGCATTTTTAAGAAAACATAAACAAAGAATTAGGAGAGGGATGAATAGCAACAAAATTCTGGAAGCTGGAGAGTAGACATATGAGTAGTAACCAATTTAGAAGAATGAGAGAACTGAATAATTAGTTTACAATGAGGAGAGGTAGGAAGAAATGCAGTTTATACCTTTGAAATCCTTGAGGACTCAGGAGTGATCAATTCCAGGTATCTCTGGAAGAGGCAGCAACAGTGGTGGGGGACCATTCATAGGTACAGGTGAATCTTTAGAGACAAAGACGTATGAAAATGTAAAATGTTTATTAAACATTCATTAAACATAAAAGTCCAAGGCGCCTGTGTGGCTCAGTCAGTTAAGCACTTAAGTGTCTGCCCTGGACTCAGGTCATGATTCCAGGGTCCTGGGATGGAGCCCCACTTTGGGCTTCTTGCTCATCAGGGAGCCTGCAACTCCCTCTGCCTGCTGCTCCCTCTGCTGTGCTTGCTCTCTCCTCTCTCTGTGTCAAATAAATAAATAAATAAATAAATAAAAAGTCTGTTTAACCAGTTATATTCCTCAGATCTCCTGTACTTAACACAGTCGGATAACTCCTTCATTCTGTAGAAAGACTGGAGGTTTATCCTCTGGAGTGGATAAAATTGAGGGTCTTTGGACTTTACATAAATGAAACACCTTTGTGGGCAAGGACATCAAAGGACGATGGGGTTTGAGCGAAGACTGTTGTACACTGAATATTGTGATCTCCCAGTCGCCTTTGGTAACTTGGCTCTTGAAGAAAAACCTAATGATAAAAACATCAAAGACATTCCCAAGTGAAATGGCTTAGGTGAAATCCAAGGTTAACAAGCCTCACACAAGTTGACAAAATTTCCAATTGAGTTTTTAATCTTCCATTCTATAATATGAGTGGATATGCAAGGGTCATGAGACATTTGAGGAAAGCCTGTATTAGAAATAACAAACACCTAAACAGATACATAGGAAAAAAAATAATAGAGGAAACAGAGGCTCTACAAGAGGAAGAGACTTAAATAATTAGTATGATTAATATCTTTAGAGAAGTAGGAGAAGACAATGTGATGTGTCAATGTCGCAAGATTTTGCTATAGGGACGCCTGGGTGGCTCAGTTGGTTAAGCAGCTGCCTTACGCTCAGGTCATGATCCCAGCGTCCTGGGATCGAGTCCCACATCGGGCTCCTTGCTTGGCGGGGAGCCTGCTTCTCCCTCTGCCTCTGCCTGCCATTCTGTCTGCCTATGCTCGCGCTCTCTCCCTCTCTCTCTGACAAATAAATAAATAAAATCTTACAAAAAAAAAAAGAAAAGATTTTGCTATAAAAAATGAGTGGGCAAAACCCAGAAAGCTCTTAGAAATTAAAATATCAAATGAAAAGCTTACTTAGAAGGATTAGAAGATAACATTGAGGCCATCTCATAAAAAATAATAAGAGGAAGTAGAAAACAGGATGGAAATTATATAGGACCAAAACGGAAGGCATAGTCTGATGATAGGAGAAAAATATGTATTTCTCTAATAATTATATATAATATATATTATTTATATATGGGGGGAGGGAGGAAGAGATGGGGGAAGGGTGTAAGAGAAGAGAAGAAAAACGTTGAGGGAGGATCTCTATAATAAGTAATTACAAATTTTTTTCCCTCATACAAAAGACATTTTGCAGTTTTTAAATGTTCTAAACCCTGGTGTACCTCTCTTTTCTCATTGAAAAAGAACTTGATCAAGTCCTATTTGATTTTTTTTTAAGCTTTCTTTTTATTGAGGTGAAATTCATATGACATAAAATTTACCATTTAAAAGTGAAAAATCTAGTATATTCATCATGTTGAATCCTGTCTCTATGAATTTACCTATTTTGAAGATTAATATAGCTGGAATAGCACATATATGAAAACTTCATATATGTTTCTGCCTTCATTCATTTGTTTTGGAGGTTCATCTACCTTGTAACGGGTATCAGTATTTCACTTTTTTTTTTTTCAGTATTTCATTCTTACTTCTATCGGAATAGTATCTCACTGTATGTGTATACCACAGTTTGTCTATCCATCCATTGATGGACATCTGAGTTGTTGCCAATTTTGACATTGTGAGTCACGCTGCTATGAACATATGTGTACTTGTACTTGCTTGACTACCTGTTTTTAGTTCTTTTGATTATGTACCTAGGAATGCAATTGCTGGGTTAGATGTTAATTCTATGTTTAACTGTTGGAGAAACCACCGAACTATTTTTTCCAGCGGCTGAATCATTTTGCTTTCCCACCAGCAATGTATAATATTTCCAAATTCTTCATTTCCTTTGTTAATATTTATTATTTTTATTTGTTTATTTATTTTTTTTTAGTATTATAGCTATAGTAGTGGGCATGAAGTGGTACTTCATTGTTCCTTGGATTTGCATTTCATACTTTGCTAATGATTTTGGGTGCCTTTTCAAGTGGTTATTGGCCATTTATATATCTTCTTTGGATGTATATTCAAATCTTTTGCTCATTTTTAAATTGGTTTCTTGTCTTTGTGTTGCTGAGTTGTAAGACTTCTTTATATATTTTGGATATTAAACCTTTACCAGATACATGATTTGCAAATATTTTCTCCTATTCTGTAGATTGTCTTTTCACTTTTTTTTTTTTTTAAGATTCTATTTATTTATTTGAGAGAGAGAGTGAGACAGAGCATGAGAGGGGGAAGATCAGAGGGAGAAACAGACTCCCCGTGGAGTTGGGAGCCAGATGCAGGACTCAATCCCAGGACCCTGGGATCATGACCTGAACGGAAGGCAGAGGCTTTAACCCACTGAGCCACCCAGGTGTCTTTTCACTTTTTTTTTTTAAGATTTTATTTATTTATTTGACAGAGATCACAAGTAGGCAGATAGGCAGGCAGAGAGAGAGAGGAAGGGAAGCAGGCTCCCTGCCAAGCAGAGAGCCTGATGTGGGGCTTGATCCCAGGACCCTGGGATCATGACCTGACCTGAAGGCAGAGGCTTTAACCCACTGAGCCACCCAGGTGCCCCGTCTTTTCACTTTCTTAATAATACTTTTGATCTCCCAAATTTTAATTCTTTGAAATCCAGTTGATCTGTTTTTTTTTTCTTTGTTGCTTGTGCTTTTGGTATCATATTTATTTGGTATCATATTGCCAAACCAAGTTCATGAAGATTTACCACTGTGTTTATTCTAACAGTTTCATTATTTCACTTAGTTTAGGTTGTTGATCCATTTTCTTAAGATTTTATTTTTGAGGACTATCTACAACCAACATGGGGCTCAAACTTAACAACCCTGAGATCAAGACTCCTGTGCTCTACCAACTGAACCAGCCAGGCACCCCCATCCTTTTTGAGTAAATTTTCATGTATATTGTGAGGTAGGAGTCCATCTTAGTTCTTTCGCATGTAGATATCCACTTTTCCCAGCACCATTTATTGAAGACACTCTTCTTTCTTCCAGTGAATGGTCTTGGTGTTCTTATCAACACTCAGGTGGCCATAGATGTCTGTATTTAATTTCTGTACTATCAGTTCTGTATCATTGGTTGTATATGTTTGCCCTCACACCAGTGCCACACTGTTTTGATTGCTGTAGCATTGTAGTAAGTTTTGAAATTGGGAAGTGTGGGTCCTCTAACTTTGTTCTTCTTTTTAAATATTATTTTGGTTATTTGGGGCCACTTGCAATTCCACATAAATTTGAGGATTAACTTTTCTATTTCTATAAAGAAAAAAAGCTGTTGGAGTTCTGATAGTAACTGCATTGAATCTGTACACCATCTCAGGTAGCATTGCCATCTTTAAAATACTGGTTTTAAAATTCATGAGCATTGGATGTCTTTACATTTATTCAGGTCATCTTTAATTTTTTTTTAGCAGTGCTTTGTTGTTTTCAGTGTATAGATCTTTCACCTCCTTTGTTAAATTTGTTCCTAGGTATTTTGTTCTTTTGGATGCTATTGTAAATGAAATTGTTTTCTTAATTTCTTTTTTGGATTGTTCATTTTTGGTGTATAGAACATGGCTGATTTTGTGTGTATGTGTGTGTGTGCATGCGTGTGTATTCACCTTGTACTCTGCAGCTTTGTTGAATTTGTTTATTAGTGCTGGACAGGGTTTTTTGATCTTTGGGATCATGTCATCTGCAAGTAGAGATAGCTTTACTTTCCAATTTGGATGTCCCTTCCTTCTTTTCTTCCTCCCTCCCTTTCCCTCCTTCCCTCCCTTTCTCTGTCTCTTTCTTTTTTTGCCTAATTACTCTGGCTAGAACTACCAGTGGTGAAAACAGTCATTCTTGTCTTCTTCCTGATCTTAGGAGGAAGGCTTTTAGTCTTTCACCATTTAGTTTGATATTGGCTGTAGGTTTTTCAGAATTCCATTTTCATGTTGAGGACGTTCCTCTATATTCTTAGTTTTCTGAATATTTTTTTTAATTATGAAAGAGTGATGGATTTTCTCAAACGTTAGTTCTGGGTCATTTGAAATATTCATGTGATTTCCCCTCGTTCATTCTACCAATGTTGTATGTTATATCAATTGATTTTCTTATGTTGAACTATTTATTCTTAAAATTTAAGTTCCTTCTCCAGTAAGATTTTTCTTACATTTCCAAATTGATTAAAACATCAGTTCTTTCACTGTGCTACTCTCTAGAATGGAAAACCTGATTACACTTTTATTATTCCATCTAGTTGTTTGTAATTTGCTTGCTTACATCATTTTTAAGATTTTTAAAATCCTAAACCTTTATCTAATAATGTATAATCTTATGGAGCTCTTCAGGAAATATAATCTCTAGTCAGTTTTGCATAACTTTTAATAAGTTGATTTTCAGTAAAAATTTTATATATTTGATGGGTACATTAACAAGTACAATATCCTCACTTGAATTTAGTCTTTGATAATCTTTCAGTATATAAAGACAATTTTTTTTCAGTTTTGCAAGGGACACAATCTTATTATATTTTTCATTATGTAAGGCATACTTTATCAACTTTCAAGTCTAGGCATCTCTATTTAAGTACCTAAAGGCATCTTTTTTAACACAAAATTTGCCATACTAACATTTCTAATTGTACAGTTCAGTAGTGCTAAATATATTCACATTGTTGTGCAACCAGTTTCCAGAACTTTTTCATTTTGCAGAACTGAAACTCTATACCCATTAAACAAGCTTCCATTTCCCTCCTCCCTCCATTCCTTGGCAACCACCATTCTACTTGCTGTTTTTGTGAATTTGACTACTCCAAATACCTAATATAAGTGGGATTATCTTTTCTTTTTTGCTGAATTGTCACTTTATGTCCTCATTAGCTCATTTCCCTACTAATGCACCTCATGCTTCTGTTTTTTAACAAAAAAAAAAGTAAAAAAAAGTATCAGAACCATCATAGGAACTGTATCAGTGTTCAGCTGTGTGATACAGGGATTGAATATCATGCACACTCATCAGATTGTCACTTAATACCACACATTTAAGGTTGTCAGCCTATTTGTGTTTGCTTACTATGTTATGTTATTATGCTATTTTATTATTATATTATTATTTTATCTTTGTTATTTTGTTATTCTATTTATTATTTGTTATTATAAAGAGACTTAAACATGCTATTACCTCATTTAAAAATACAAACAATTCGAAACAGTTTGTGAAACCCCTTGAGAAGTTTCAACTTATAGTATTCAATTTTAAGCTCTTTGTGGACATAACTGCCTTATTCACATATGTCTGTTTACAGTATTAGAAATTAAGCCCTCAGACTTGTTTCTAGTTTCAGTTTGTTGGATCGAGTGGATTTTTAATGTCTTTGTGTAGATATTTGCTTATGTGGCCAGCAAATTTGTATATGACTTTACCCACATGGTGAGCCAGTTACTTTCTATTAATTGTTCTTTTCTACCGCGCTATTTAAAGAAGGATTAATATATGAAGACTGGGAGACTAAAACAATTATCAAATCACTATAGCAGCAGTAACTCATTTATTCCTTTGCCACAAAGATATGATCAGCATTTACTAAAGAATCTACTGGACAATTGCACTAACTCTAGGCCACTTCTTACTATGACATTTACTTGGAGAGGTGGAAAAATAATTGATTTATTTTAGTTAAATGTTAGTAATGAAA